CCCCCCCCCCCAACTTCCAATTAATTCTTCTATCCTTCATGTTCTTGACCTTCGAAAAAAACAATTAAATATAAATAATTTTAATTTTACCTGATTTATTTAAGGATCAAATAGTTCTAAGATAAATTTGAACGATCACAATGGCCTATGGCCTAGATTTCTACTCCTTTTTATACTCTTCCTATACATGTACTCTAATGACTCGACCTTTTGACTTTTGCTTAAGATCTGTGTTGTTGTCCTTGCAGACGATGGAGCCCGGTGACCCAGGGGAGACCACCCCGGAGACACAGGTGACCGGCACACAACCGCGCATCCTTAGAGACGAGAGTAACTTCATTCAGAACGTGGGCCAGTTCTACAACCAACAGGATATCAGCGATGTCATTCTCAAGGTAAATATAGCCTTTGGAATGTTTGGATATGTTGGGGGGGTTCGTTCTTGGAGGGTATGTTATGGTTCGGTGCCACGAGATGGAGGATTAGAAACTTTTGTCTAAACTCACACCCCCTCCCCGCCAATAAAAGTAAAGTATGGCCCGTTATTTAGGACTTCTTGGCTTTCCTTATTATGCGCATCAGCTGGGGTCACAGCATGAAAAAAGTAGAGGATTTAACCACAAAAATGTTGTTACTCCATTCTCATAACCCTGTTTTTGCTTTGTTGAAATCCTTTCCAGATCGGAGAAGAGAAATACTACGGCCACAAGTTTGTCCTGGCCAAGTCGAGCGAGGTGTTCCGGACGATGCTGTACAACAAGAACTGGACGCAGGCCGGGCTGCCAGAGATTGTGCTGGAGGAGACGGAGGAATGCCAGAAGTACTTTGACACTTTCCTCCGCTTCCTGTACACGGCCGAGGTGAACATCAGCGTGGACTCTGCCGTGGGGATTCTGTGCCTGGCGGACAAGTACAGTGTGGAGTCGCTGAAGAATCTGTGTACACAGTACATGGTGGAGCATACTAGGTGAGGGGAGGGGGGGGTGTAAAGTGTTGTGGGGTGGGAGCTAGGGCCTTTCCATGGAAATGGGGGTTGGGGTGGGAAAGGGGGAGGGATGGAGGGTGAGGGAAGGAAGGAAAAATAGGCAGAGTTGCGAAAAGATGAGAAGTGATGCCTGAAAAGATAAAGAAGTGGTGTCTTGGGTATATGTAGGCTACAGTCTGGAGTTTCTACAAAATGTGTGTACTTACTACATGATGGAGGTATGTTATGGGTGCTGTGTGTCTAATGTGTGTGTGT